AAGCTCACCTTGCGATTCCGCAACGTCTTGCCCTCGCCCGAGCTGTTGAGGTCGATACTCGACGTGCTGCTGCCCAGCAATCTCCTTGACCTGCGCTTCCCATTCTCCTCATCTTCTTCTTCCTCATATCGATCGCTGTAGTCGCTGTCGTCCAGCTCTTCTTCGACCTCAATCTCCGTTGTTGTGACCTCATCGTCATCTTCCGCTTCGTAGGGTCGGTGCCTGGGCGTTGACCGCTTTCTGCGCCCCACCGGAACAACCGAAGATGAAGAAGACGACGACCAGCGCCTCGACGCCGCAGGCGAAGCAGCTGCGCCACCCGCGGCGCTCACCGGCGGTGGCTGTGTCGTCTGCCCGTCCTCTTGCTGCTGCGTGTGGTCCTCCCCTCCAGGCTCGGGTGGCTGTCCGTCTCGCTTATCCATCTCCTCAGCCGCTCGCAAGAAGTAGTGCACACTACCAGTAGTGTCTCGTTGCCTCAAGAGTTGTTTGTGTTGCCTCCGCCGAATCGGGTAAAGGCGAAGGTGTTGCTTCTTTCTTATTGTCGGCCCCCGAAAGACAGAACGGACTTCCGGTTCTTGGTTGGCGGAGCGATTCAATTGGCCTGCACCGCAGTTGGGCACACTCATTCACAAGGTGTGCACCGTAGCTGCCTTGTCTTGTATCCTGAGGTTTGGAGTTTGCCCAAGGTGTCCCCATCTTCCTTGACAAGCTCCTCTCCCCTGCCCATCCAGTTCCTTACACATAGTTCCCAGTTTCTCTTCGTGTGTATTCGTGCCGGGAAATTTCCGGACAGGTGATTTCCTTGTCCTTTCCCACCGTTACTTTCGCCTCTCCGGAGAGATTGAGATCGGAGAGAGATTCGGCATTTTCAATTTGTCGATTCGTTCATTGGAAGAGAAGTAAGAAGAAGATGGCGACGGTGGCAAAGGATCAGGTTCAACGCGCCGTGCAGGCCCTGCTTACGCACTACGAGAACGACCAGGCCATCAAGGCGAAGGAGGCCAAGGCCAAGGATCTGATCGAGGAGGATGAGACCCTGTCCCTCATCATTACCTGGAAGAAGCTTCCCAAGCCAAAGGTCGTTGGCAAGCACAGAACCGGCCCTCTCCTCAAGCCGCTCGCCATGTACGCGAAATTTGCTTTCATTTTTCTTAATCGCCCTGATTTTCTCAAATTATTCGCATTTATCGTCGTTTGTGCTATTATGAAACAACAAT